TCAGGGTTTGGGATTTTTCCCTCAGGGTTTGGGATTTTTCCCTCAGGGTTGGGATTTTTCCTTCAGGGTTTGGGATTTTTCCCTCAGGATTTGGATTTTTCCCTCAGGGTTTGGGATTTTTTCCGTCAGGGTTGGAATTTTTCCCTCAGGATTGGGATTTTGTCCTCAGAGTCGGGATTTCCCCCTCAGGATTGGGTTTTTCCCTCATGATAGGGATTTTTCTGTCAGGGTTGGAATTTTTCCCCCCAGAGTCAAGATTTTCCCTCAGGGTTGGGATATTTTCCTGACAAGGTTTGGGATTTTACCCTCAGGGCCAAGATCTTCCCTCATGGTTGGAATTTTTCCTCAGGGTTTGGATTTTTTTTCCCTCGAGGTTAGGATTTTCCCCCTCAGGGTTTGGATTTTTCCCTCAGGGTTTGGGATTTTTCACTCAGGGTTTGGGATTTTTCCCTCGGGATTGGGATTTTTCCCTCAGGGTTTTGGATTTTTCCCTCAGGGTTTGGGATTTTTTTCCCTCAAGGTTGGGATTTTCCCCCTCAGGATTTGGATTTTTCCCTCAGGGTTTGGGATTTTGCCCTCAGGGTTTGGGATTTTCTCCCTCAGGGTTTGGGATTTTTCCCTCAAGAATGAGATTTCCCTCACTGTCAGAATTTTTTTCCCTCAGGGTTGGAATTTTTCCCTCAGGATTGGGATTTTGCCCTCAGAGTCCGGATTTCCCCCTCAGGATTGGGTTTTTCCCTCATGATAGGGATTTTTCTGTCAGGGTTGGAATTTTTTCCCTCAGGGTTGGGATATTTTCCCAACAAGGTTTGGGATTTTACCCTCAGGGCCAAGATCTTCCCTCATGGTTGGAATTTTTCCTCAGGATTTGGATTTTTCCCTCAGGGTTTGGGATTTTTCCCTCAGAGTTTGGGATTTTTCTCCCAGGGTTTGGGATTTTTCCCTCAAGAATGAGATTTCCCTCACTGACAGAATTTTTTTCCCTCAGGGTTTGGGATTTTTCCTTCAGGGTTTGGGATTTTTCCCTCAAGAATGAGATTTCCCTCACAGTCATAATTTTTTTCCCTCAGGGTTGGAATTTTTCCCTCAGGGTTTGGTATTTTTTTCCCTCAAGGTTGGGATTTTCCCCCTCAGGATTTGGATTTTTCCCTCAGGGTTTGGGATTTTTCCCTCANTTCTTGGAATTTTTGGGAGATTTTTGGTGGATTTATTTGGGAATTTTAATGGATTATTTCAGAATTATTTTGAATTTTGGGGGGTTTCTGTGGAAATGTGGGGGATTTTTAATTTTTTTTTGTGGATTTTTTGGGATTTCTTACGATTTTTGGGGATTTTTTTTTTATTTTGGGGGGATTTTTTTATAATTTTTTGGGAGTTTTTAGTGGATCTGGAGGACTTTTTTTTTTAAATTTTGGGAAGGTTTTAGTGGATTTTTGGGGGATTTTTTGGGGGAATTTTGGGGACTTGGGGATGAGGGGGTTGGGAATTTTTGGGAATTGGAAAGAGTGGGAATGGCAGAATTGCTGAGGTTTGTGGGGGATTTTTTAGGTTTTAGATCCCAAAAAAACCAAGGAAATGATCTTTAAATAAGAAAAAATTTAGGAAAATGTTTTTAAATCCCAAGAAAAACAAGGAAAATGTCCTTTGAATCACAGAAAAACCAGGAAAATGTTTTTCAAGTCCCAAAAACAAAAAGAAAACACCCATGGAAATATTCTATAAAATCCAAGGCCAATGTCCTTTAAATCTCCAATAAACAAGGAAAATGCCCTTTAAATCCCAAAATCTATTGAAAATGTTTTTTAAATCCTAAAATTCCAAGGCAGTATCTTTTAAATCCCAAGAAAAACCAGGAAAATCCCAAAAATCCAAAGAAATACTTTTCAAATCCTAAAAAAACCAAGGAGAATACCCCAAAAACCTGGAGAATATTTTGAAAGTGAAAATCCCCAAATCCAGAAAAAACATCTTTTAAATCCCAAAAAACCCAAGTTTAGTTCCACCTTTAGGACCCAAATTGAGCCATTTTAAAGTGACTTTTAACCCTTTTTACACCTAGAAAATAGCAGGGAAAAAGCAGAACATTCCAGCAGGTTTAAGAATTCTCATTTTATCCATAAATTTAGGAATTACCAAGATTTTTTTTTTTTCCCCTTAGGCCATCCTGCAGCTGGACAGCCCCAAATCCGCACGTTCCATGCACAGTTTCCTGCAGCAATATCCATATTCCATAGGAGAACACACCCTCACCTGCTCCTTGTCCTCCCATGGAGACATTCCTGAGGTAAAAATTCCAGATTTTCCACCATTTGGGTTTTTTTTTTGGGATGGGAGAACCTTTCTGCAAAGAGCTGTGGGATGGGATTTCCTTCAGGGTTGGGATTTTACTCTCAGGGCCAAGATCTTCCCTCATGGTTGGAATTTTTCCTCAGGGTTTGGGATTTTTTTCCCTCAAGGTTGGGATTTTTCCCTCAGGATTTGGATTTTTCCCTCAGGATTTGGATTTTTCCCTCAGGGTTTGGGATTTTTCCCTCACAGTCAGTCATAATTTTTTTCCCTCAGGGTTGGAATTTTTCCCTCAGGGTTTGGGATTTTTTTCCCTCAAGGTTGGGATTTTTCCCTCAGGATTTGGGATTTTTCCCTCAAGAATGAGATTTCCCCCACAGTCAGATTTTTTTTACCTCAGGGTTTGGGATTTTTCCTTCAGGGTTTGGGATTTTTCCCTTAAGAATGAGATTTCCCTCACTGTCAGAATTTTTTTCCCTCAGGGTTTGGGATTTTTCCCTCAAGAATGAGATTTCCCTCACTGTCAGAATTTTTCCCTCAGGGTTTGGGATTTTTCCTTCAGGGTTTGGGATTTTTCCCTCAAGAATGAGATTTCCCTCACAGTCATAATTTTCTTCCCTCAGGATTGGAATTTTTCCCTCAGGGTTTGGAATTTTTTTCCCTCAAGGTTGGGATTTTCCCCCTCAGGATTTGGATTTTTCCCTCGGGGTTTGGGATTTTTCCCTCAGGGTTTGGGATTTTTCCCTCAAGAATGAGATTTCCCTCAGGATTTGGATTTTTCCCTCGGGGTTTGGGATTTTTCCCTCAGGGTTTGGGATTTTTCCCTCAAGAATGAGATTTCCCTCACTGTCAGAATTTTTTCCCCTCAGGGTTTGGTATTTTTCCCTCAGCGTTTGGGATTTTTCCCTCAGGATTGGGATTTTTCCCTCAGG